CGCAGATAGACCTCGTGTAGCTTTGCGCGAAATTCAAAACAAACAAACCTTCGTATGTGAAACAAGAAAAAATATAATTATGTGCTTTAAAATACTCCGCTGCAAATAAAATAAAATGTTAAGCAGGAAGATAATACAATATTTAATTACTTTTGTTTTTAAGAAAAACTTCTCCCAAAACAAAATATACAACCAGCTATTTATTTTACTTGTTAACTCTGGTATCAGCTTCATATAATGGTGTCTTTATATAGAGTTTTTGTTAGTTCTGCACACACACACACACACAAAGAATCCCAACAAATTTCTGGTAAAATTCAATGATCAATACTGTTTTGATTTTATCGAAAATTCTTTATATGTCGTAGCTTGTTCTTTTTTTCGATTCTAGGTCAAGTAACGTCACTTCCTGTGCCGTACAACATTAGCCTTGTCCTTACCAAGTGGTTCCCGCCTGCTGTTCAAGTGTTCTGGAAAGTTAGTTCTTTGAACGAGAGTGGTCTCCTCCATTTTGACGTCACCTATCGGCCACAAAATGCAAGGTAATTTCAGTTTCCGTTATTCAAGCTATTTCGTCTAGTAAATGTTTACATACGCTGAGGCAGTGAATAGTTATGTAACTAATTACCTAGAGATCTGTACAATAATTTAACATGTATCACGCCTCAGCTTCGTACAGGTATAATCATTACTGGAAGTATTACTGATGTATTTCCCTTTTTCAACACAGATCACGAATGTTATTTGCATTGTTATGGTATGAATGTATTTTATAATCTAGTAAAGATGATTATAACTAATTATACTTGTCACAGACATTAGTATTAGGCCTACTGTGTTTTTAAACATTACATTCATTATCTAGTCCCTTGGGGATTTTCAAGGATTTAAAGAGTTTATAATAATAGTATTCCAATCACACTATATCCGACATATCTACAACGCGTTTCGCTCAATTCAGAGGTCTTCTGGGTAGATTTCAGCCTTAGGTCTACATCACACAAGTCGGAATGGAACAGAGATAAAGAACAATGGAACAAACTCTCAGACGCGTGGATTTGGGGCAGTATTCCCACTAGGTTGCGCGACCGCACAACAACCAGTCAAGTGCACTTCATTATTCCAGCCGCGCACATCCTCAGTAATGGTATTGACGGCCCTTAATGACCCTGGCAGTCGATAGGCTTAAAGCCCTAATAACGAACTGGTAGCATTGCAAAGCGGCCTGATGATTCAATAAGGTCGATGGTCTAAAAATACCCCTCCCCTCTAAAAAAAAAAAAAAAAACTGGTAGCGCACATCCGCACATTGCCTTGATACTGTTGCACATGAAAAAATTCCTTTCGCACATGGATTGAAAAAATTAGAGGGAACATTGATTACGTGTACACCAATAATCACTTGGGTTATGTAACAAAAGTAAATAAAGTATGAAACAAACAAAACTCTTCGTAAATGTAATAAAAGAAAATAAGCTACAGCCTATTTATTTCAAGAGACAACTTTCATTAAACGTAGCATCCACTAAAAACTTAGTTTTGAGAACGAAAAAAAGCATTTATCTGGTATAAGTTATTTCTTCACAAAGTAATAATAGTAGTATAGTTTAAAATGTGGATAAAGAATTCAAAATGTGAACATGTATGTGAAGTTTACTTCTAACATTGTTTTGTATAGTCTTTTCTCAGATTCAGAATATATTTTATAGGTATCGGATAGTTCAAGAAGTTTCTCCTAAAGACTGTTCCGTCGTTTTAAACCATCTCCTACCGGGTACTTTATATAATCTCCATCTAACACCCATTTCTGAAGCTGGCCCTGGAAATCACAGTGATGTAGTACAGTTCATCTCCCCAAACATTCGTAAGTTCACTTCTTGTATATGCGAAACAAATTTGCATAAAAAAATCATAACAAGTTTTTAACTAAAGCTTCTCTCAAAGTTCAAATTCACTGGATTTTACGACGCCTCTGAGATACCCAATACTGAGAATAAGCGTGATATAAATGATATTTAGATTATAGGGCGTTTCGGATCTCTAACATATCGTTTAAATTAAGCTGTGTTCATAACGTGTAGAGAATGTTAATCGTGTTCAGCTTTGTTGTAAATCTGCTTTCAAATAACATTGAATGCGTTATGTTGTTTTGACCTTTCTACATTTTTGTTTTCGATGGTTTAGGTTCAAATTTATATAATCTTAGATTTTACTGACACTGTAACTAGATGGCTGACTGACTTCTGTATTAGGATCGTTAACTAATTTTGGTAGAACGTTCCATTTATATGCTTGTACAAAACTACGTGGTTGATCATGTGATGTGTCAGTTGCTTCTTAGAATTGCAATGTTGTAGTTATATTTAGTCTGCAAGAAAATGGATACGACCGAGAACCTTTCTAACTTTCAAAGCGACATGGTATAAATACTCGTTTAACAGGAATGTGTTTATTAAAGACCATTTTTAAATGGGTATTCAAACACGTCTGCTACGAGAGTCTATCAACAGAGACAATAGAAATGGAATTGTCCACCACTAGGAAAAATGTTCTCCATCAACTACTGGTGCCCAGCAGAAGAAAAAACAACACAGAACAGGTGTGTAAAGGGTTACGGATGTCAGAGTGTGCCAATAATATTTGGTCAGGAGTAGACTATCTATAATCATCTCATGTGAAGGACATTACATATCTGCCAAGTGAAAACCAACAAAAAGTCTAAGAAACGCTTATTCCAGACGCAGATAAGAAAGCACTTTTGTTCTTATGGAACCATAAGAAACCAGAAAGTTCTTATGGCACCAATTGCAGACACTAAGTGACTAAAAGCGTGTGCTGTAGTCTATTGTGTCACATTTTATCCTTTTCAATACTGACAGTACAGTAAAAATATTGGTAAACCATATGAAGCATTTGTTCCTACTTGTGCAAACTGATGGAGATGATTCAGTGGTGAAAGTATGGATTTGGGTTCGTTGACTTCTTTAGAAGAGCAATTAAAATCCATAGTTTACCTTAGTAGTGCCGATCATGTCCACCCCACATAGTTGTACTTCCAACCAGATAGACAAGGGCTTTTACAATAAGATGATTCAGTAATCCCCCTTCATTGTATTTCCGAAACTGCTGAATAGAACATGACAGAGAATTAAGCCACCATCCAAAGCTAGCGCACTCATTGAATTTCAATGTCAATGAACATCTTTGAGATGATCATTAACATCGCATTCTCCATCATAAGCCTTTATCAAAATCTTCAGCCAATTTCAACCTATACTCGTCCACATATTCCTACTTCTTCTGAAGTCTGTGGCACTCAGATTCTACGCTCTTACCGTGATAAAAAGTTGCCCAACCCGAAATTAAAGTGTCCATCCTACGTATATTTATTTATTTTCATGTACATGTGATATTCTAATAATGTGTTTTATAAAAGTATTTAAGATTTCATTGTGTGTGTGTTTGGTTTAATTATTTCTTATGACCTCATATACCGGCCTTGACTGTCATCTTTGTGATCCAGTTACATGTTATAACATGCTTATTTAGTCAGTTAATCATGTATATTGCGCCGCAATCCGATTGTCATCTGGTGACCAACGTATTGATAAGATCATTATCAATAAATACATTTTGCTTACTATACATTCAAGTTCAAGAAATCAAATGTACGGCATTTGTAAAAATAATAAACGTTTGATGTCCAAAATTTAGCAAGTACTTTTTCCACTCACCAACGCTGGAAGATCCGATAAATTACAATGTACACGTGATTTCACTAACGAGAATTATAAAAATCAACACAAATGTAAACCACTATATACAATCTATTTTCTCTGTGAACGTTGTTTGAACCATTATTTATCTTTTCCTATTATGCCAAAACCGCCTACTAAACGTCGCCATGTCGAATTTTCACTAGATGGCAAAATTAATCGTACTAAAGAATTAAACGTCGTACCAAAGCCGAACCAGAAATATGTAAGGAAACCCCACTGTATCCGATATTTTGAAACTTAAGTTCTCGAGTATCTCGCTCGTTTTGCAGAAAATGGCTACGTATCACAAATTTATTATTTGATTCGAATATTCGCACAAAGCTTGAGTATCATTCCAATGCAAATGAAAAGCATTTGTGTAAAAATCAGTTCCAGGCCTATTTTCTGCAGTTATTTAAAATTGATCTTGTCATTTGAAACAAATGATTTAATCTGCACGTTATCATTGTATTCAACTGACCATAACTTATTTTACCGTTTATAATCAGTGTTACTTTTTGTTCTTTACCTGTCTATGCTATGAGAGATTGCTTGTTTTACGAAATGCCTAGCTATCTCGTGAAATGTAACATTGTAATCGGTCACAGAAGAAGTGAGCTGCGTAATTGGACAACCATTATAACGCCCCCACGACTGAAAGGGCGAGCATGTCGAACCCGCGACCCACAGATTGCGAGTCGAGCGCCCTAACCACCTGGTCATGCTGGGCCTAAGAGTTGCGTAATTGGATTAAACTAACACAACCATTATAACGCCCCCACGGCTGAAAGGGCGAGCATGTTTGGTGGGACGAGTATTCGAACCCGCGACCCACAGATTGCGAGTCGAGCGCCCTAACCACCTGGCCATGCTGGGCCTAAGAGTTGCGTAAGTGGATTAAGCTAACACAACCATAAAAAATAACACCACCGGCAACTGGTTCATAATGATGTGTTGCTGACTCTACAAAATCTTACTCTCTGTTCTTTTGAAACTTGAATTATTTTTCTCTATATAAAATAGAACCTAATAGCTAAATAGAATAATGGCGCAAAACTAACTTCTGAGAAAGGCATTTGATAATATAAAGTTATTTCGTGTTATCAGATAATCTTCAGACAATAAAGAAATGGTTACAAGTCAGGTACTGACATTTAAAAATATAATTATTACTAGATGTACTTGCGCAAGGTCCCCAAAAGTGTTTTCTTTCAAGAGTAAGTAAAAACCAAAATTAGGAGTAATAATTTTTTTTCATTTATTGCTTTTGAAGTTCGTATGCCATGCTGTGTTGTAGCCTACAAAGTGCATAATGTTTCTCGTGATTCATGGCATGCGTACGTTTTACTGACCTTACGACAGTACAAATTACAACGTTAAGTGTTTCTTATGTTATGTCATTTTAGTGTCTACTGACTGACTAACAGACAACACCTTACCGTATAGTGATGCGAGTGGTTAAAACAGGTGACGCCTCAAGGTGACCTATGGCTTCCTTTCAGGGAAGTAATGTAAACGTCTGATTTTGTCACTTTATCATTAACATTGTTTATCGAAATATATTTTAAAACGTAATTAGGTTTCAAGAAATAATTTCAACGTAAATTATGATTTAATACACTAGAATTAAACGATCTCGAAAAATTACAAAATGACAATTCCAAAAATCAGTATGCAATTAGTTGTGTGAACATCTCACGTATCTTGTTGTGAAAGTGATGCACGTATGATTTGGCGAACGTTGCACGTGTCCCCGACACCAGGAATATAAAATTCCTTGTTTCATTTACTGCTTTGGTGATCGCTCAGTTTCGGTTATTCTTTCCATATAAATGAGTTACAACTAGTGTTCACTCTAGGTACGCGGACGCACAACAACCAGTCATGTGCACTTCATTATTCCAGCCGAGCACATTCTCACTAATGGTGAGGAGTCTCAACACGTTGACGGCCCTTAATGACCCTAGCAGTCGATAGGCCTAAAGCCCAAATAACCAACTGATAGCACTGCAAAGTGGCCTAATGATCCAATAGGGTCGATGGTCTCAAAACTACCCCCCCCCCCCTCTAAAAAAAAACTGGTAGCGCACGTCCGCACATTGATACTGGTGCACATGAAAAAATTCATTCCGCACATGGATTGAAAAAATTAGAGAGAACATTGGTCACAACTGGTGACGGAGGTATTTGCTAGATGTATTGTTTGTTTGTTTTCTGATATTCTTGCAAAGCTACACAAAGGTTATCTCAAATAGACGTTTCTAATTTTGAGCTATGCTAGAGGGAAGACAGTTAGTCACCAGCACCCACCGTCAACTCTTGGACTACTCAAATCGAATAGTTGGTTTTGACCATTACTCTTACATATTTACAACACATGTACGGTCCCAAAATATGATTTTGTAGCTACAGAACATGAACAATGGACTCTAGAATCCAAAGTTCGGAAACACTTAACCACACCCGGCTTAGAAGTACAAATTGTCTGAGCTGTTCAAACGTAAACATTTGAAAAACTCCAGCAGGAGGTTTGTGGAAACACTAACAGACTACTCTGCACATTAGACAGCCTGATCAAAGCTGTTAACTTTCAGCTACACCATAAAATAAACGCTACCAGCACAACATTACCATGAGGAATCGTCAGTCTACTGCCCACGAAACCTTTATCAACTTCGGAACAGCAACTAGAGTGGTTAAAAGTGACCAAAATGGAAAGATCACAATGGGTGAGTCGGGATTAATGGAAGTTCGAATCAAGGTTTCATGTCCTTACCAACGATCAAAGAGTTCGTGTTTTGAGACACAGATATGAACGATATGCTTAGTACAACATACTCGAATGTAACCGTTTCGGTAGCGGTTCAGCCATTCTGTGAAGAGACATCATTGTGAAGATTAAGGCTTCTTTGGGGCCGATTTAATTCCCGATGACATTTTGACATGGTATTGGATTCAGTTGTACAAAGTTCATCGGGTGCAAACTTTGTTCTGATGTAGAATAATGTTCAGTTTCATAGTGAGGGGATCACAATATTGCGTGGTCCACTGTGCCATATTATTCATTAAAAAAAGAAAGAAAAAACGTTACAGTTTTGAATGCTCT